TCGTATTTCATGTACGTCACATGTTGTCGACTTGCCTTATCTTAGACATTTATACTTTGTTTTAGGTGGTTTTAGATTGTGTGTGAGTGGCTGTAGATGTTTTTAAGGTGGTTGTTGAAACTTTTGAGGTGGTTTTAGGTCATTCCATATTTTAGTGCGTACAGACTTATATAAATTGATCATTTACCAAAGTTTGCCACAGAAAACTCTGTTTGGAGCAATTTATGGAACTAATTGGCTAACAAGATCAAAATTGTCTTTCATATTATCCTCTGGCAGGTGCTTTACCGAAGTAGCCACCTACTTCAAATCTTATTGAAAGCACTGAAATTGGCCACCACAAAGAGTTCAAAGGCTGATGTTTGGAGCATTAGCCCCTTGTCAAGGGGTTGGTCAAAGGACCAATCACTCCGACAAAGGGCTTACACTCAAAACATCAGCCTTTACACTCTTATACAGTGGCCTATTTACATTTTCAACTCAGTTGACAACACTAAATTACCCTGTTATACTCTCCCACCAACACAGCACCACAGTTTCTTTAGAAACTTACCCTCTTTATCTTCATAGTAGACTGAATCTCACTGTTAACATTTTTTAAAATTTAATTGTATTTTTTTTTTTAGTCAAGTGGTTGTCATCTGAACAAGTTCCTCATCAGCTTCAACTTCATAATGTGTTTTGTCATCTCAGCTATTTCAATTCTGCCCAAGATCCAAGAAGGTGCATACATAGTAGCATTACTTGACATAAATTTAATTAAATTGATTTATCAGTGTCTTTGCAATTGTCAACCAAATTGATTGATTTTTACAAGTCATCTATTTATTTCTTGTAAGTTACCAAATCAATTTTGAAAATTCCAAACTCTTACCTGTTACTAAACTCACTTTTATTAACTGACTTTAGACAGTTATTATTAGCTTTAAACTCTTGTAAGCCCCTCATTAGTGGCAAATGGTGGGAGAAGTTTGACCCTTTAGGTAGATGTGATTGTTCAGTTGAGGTTGAAACTCATAAACAACTAAATTTGAATTTATTTCTTATTCAAAGTATGAAGGAGGAATAGTCAGATCTTCTCTGTACCTAAACTTAGCTTGCTCCAAATTTAAAGCAATTTATCAGTGATTGATTTAATTTGAGCAAGTGATTGTTTTGAACAATTTTATGCTGGTTAGTGAGCTTCATTCACCACAGTGACTGCACCTTTTTCTCCCACAGTACAACCCAAGTCTGGTCTCCTCCAGGCCTCCATCATCTCTCTGTATGCCAGCTACCTGACCCTATCGGCTCTCTCCAATGAACCAACAGAAAAAGGTATTTTTGCTGCATTCGCCATTGGCAACTGAGAGGTTTGCTGGGATCTGGCAGGAATAATGAGGGCTAGATTTTAAGATAATGTGTTGTTCCTTTTTTCCTTGTTAGTACAATCTCAGGGAGGAAACAGCACCAGTCAAGAAATTTGTGGGAGCTCAATTGGGACAATTGAAAACTCAGAGACACTGGCTTTAATTGTTGGGCTTGTTATAATGTTTGTGCTTGTCATTTACTCAAGGTCAGTTTCAGCCGTGTCAGTAGTAATATATTGTTGAGTGTCAGTTGCCAACCCAGGTGGAAATCTTATTAAGATCTTACTAAGATTCTTGTAAGTTTCTTACTAAGATTCTTATTAAGATTCTTAATTAAGAATCTTGTGACAAGATCTTACCAGATTCTATAAGATTCTTAACTAAGAATCTTGATAAGTATCTTAGTAAGAAACTTACAAGAATCTTACAAGATCTGGTAGGATTCCTGTGACAAGAATCTTAATTAAGTACCTTCACAAGTTTTCAAAAGAACTTGTTAAGATTCTCAACAATGTCTTAATGATCTCTAAAAGAACTTACAAGAACTTGTGAGATTTTCAAACAACTTACAAGAATTTTTGCAGAATCTGTAAAAATTCTTAAGTATCATATTTTTTTCAGACCATAGTAGGTAACTGATGGTTTATGCAATATGCAGTAACTGGAAAGAATTTCTTCATCCAACATTAAGCAAAATTTATTGCAAATTCTCAACACTGTGAAATTAATTACTAAAAAAGATCTTGATAAGAAACGTTAACTGGTAAACATGCACGATTTAAATGACAACTGTACAAGAAGAGTTCTTGTTCTTCCCTTTGGTGTGTTTTAAAAATTTAAAAAAACAATTGTTTTAATTGTTGGAGTCATTTGACAGTTTGATTTGAACTACCATAGTTATCCTTACACAAATAAGCCATAATAACGAAAGGCATGTCCCAGTTTTAAATTGTTCTTCGTTTGATTCAAACTGCAATGGTTTTTCTTCTTTTAGAATAATTTAAGCATGAAAACAAAAAAAAACAACAAAATTTCGTATTGCAGCAAACGTGTTCAAAGAATTAAAGCTCAATATCACTCATCTCAGTTGGCATTTTAGTCAATTTGACAGCTACTTGACAAGCAAATTTGCAAATATTTCAATTTTGTACAAATATCAACCAAGCCTTAGTTCATTCAACATTGCCCTCTACATTGTGAACTTTTCTCTTGGAATCCAAGCAATTTTTTTTATTCAAGTAGAGCCTTATTTGAGACCACCTCTTATTCATTTGGGCATCACCAAATTTCTGTTTTATGGCTCCTGTGGGAAGAAAAAAAAGAAAAAAAGAAAATAGTAATTTGTATACAGGTACAAAATATACTAAAACCTTGAGAGCATATTTTTTAAAACCCCTGCCAGAGAGGAGTAATAGGAGCTTGGTTTCATTGTGAGGAGTACTAACTAAGGTAGAGGGGAGGAGCTTCTCAATGGTTCTCCTTGATCACCATCATGCCTCATCTGTACGCAAAGAAAAGGAGGTAGTGACTATCTTTAACAAGAATTTATCATCTTTAAGAGCAAAATTTTTATGCACAGGTTCCCAGTTATGAATCTTGGCAATTTACACTGCCCAACTCCAATCCAACAAACTTTGTTTACACTTTGCACTGCTGAAACAGCTATTCCAAATTCCCACAAAAAGTTGATAAATGAAAAATTACCTTTTTACAATCAGAGGAGTTGCCACCCTTCTATCCCATTCTGTGCTTGTAGCATTAAGATGGGACTCAAAGTCTACTTTATTCAGGATACAATCATTTTTACAGGTGATCCTATCTCTCCAGTTCTCCTGTGAATATGAATTGAAAAAATGTTTACATTTGTTGAGCAATCCCTCCACTAAATTAAGTTTCATTAACCTTTAGAACAAAGAAAATTGTGAGAAAGGGAAGCAAGGAATCATGACTCAGCATTAAATGAAAACCAGAAAAAAATACACACACATTCACAAAACAAAACAAATAAAAACTAAACAGAACCAAACAAAATACAAAAAATGTTGCATGGAATTAATACAGGTATAGAATGTGTTAGAGTAAAAATTAACAGGATAACAGTGCCAAAATTCTGCCTTAAGCCATCTAAGTCAATGAAGTCTTGAAGGAGGGGGGGAAATGAACTATCATGCACCAACATTGAATATTTAGAGTTCTTACATCATCAGAAGAACTTCCCATTTTTTGGTAATTTTTGTTTGCTTTGGGAAGATTCCCATCACTGTGGACATGGTCGTGATAGTCAAACCCAGTTTGGCTTTCATCATCATCATCATCAGTGGAAACTTTTAAGTAGAACGTGGCAATTTATAATTCATTATTTGGGAATAAAGTATTTCCATAATCGATTTCGCGTTGTTATTGCACCCTTCTAGTTTAACTTCTAGTGGTTGTTAGTAAAGCCGAAGACAAATTAATTGTTTATTGTGAACCATTTCCATGCGAGACGACTGGAAGCTACGATGATTCTGCCTACAACACTTAAATCCGGAACAATCTCTCTTTTAAAACTGACTTGAGAGAATTGCTACAAGTGCAGTAAGGTTAGCAGCCGCCGTTACGGGGTTTTGATGATGATAGCGTTACATCTCGTGTCAGTTTCCACTCAATTCTAAACAAAAACGCTTCCTGACGAAATCGAACCCTAACGAGATTTTATGATTTGCCTTATATAAAAATACCGTGGCCTTGCAATTACATAAACTTATCGTCACTTTTTTCGTCCATGCTAAAAGAATCTAAAAAGTGCGAGAAATAAGTCTATCGCATCACCTTCCAGATGTGTAATGTTGATAACGTGAACTTAATGAATAAAAGTCTGTAGCACTTACCTTCGGGATGATTTGCCTTCATTTGCTTCAGTTGCAGTCGCGCACTAGTTGCTTTTTTGGAAATCTTCTCAAGATACTTAAACTACCAAGACCAATGTGTTCCTTGAGTTATGAAGCGAGTGTCGTGCACAATCATACGTGTGCTTTCTATGTGCTTAGATGTGTAAACTATTCACCTGAGGCCACTTCACGTGACAGAATAAAACAAGGATATCGCAACCTTGAATGTGTAATCGTAGTGTTCTTTCACAAGAAAAGCAAAACGCGATTTATCTTCTCTGGTGTGCTGTAAACTCATGTTACTTACCGACTGCGTCATTTTCTGTATTTTAAGCGACAGTAACATTAGTGATTTTGCAAAGAACTTGGCTTGTAAAATCCTAATTCTCGAGATCATTATTCTTCGCCAGGGCTTTAGACACAATTAAATTTCCCAACGAGGTAGATAACACTCAACCAAAGTAAAATTTCTGTAGAACTTTGCCGAAACGAAATGGCGCGTGAACGGTTGACAACAACGGTCGAGTGAACAATTTGTAATTTTGCGCCGGCCGTAGCGGGAGACTGGGGAGAGCCTTAGTGAAAGTACAAAATGTCACGCAACTCTCGCAAGTATTTTGTAAGTAACTACCTATAAACTTTTTAAAAATACTTTTAATTTCTGCCATCAGACCGGTCTGCAAATTTTCGATGTTTATTTGTTAGTTATTTTGTAAAGAATTTGGTCGGTAAAATCCTAATTCTCAAAATCATTCTTCTTCTTTAGGGCTGTAAGGCACAGTTAAATTTCGCAACCAGGCAGATAACACTCGACCAAAGTAGAATTTCTGTCGAACTTTGTCCGAAACGATATGATGCAAAAACGGTTAACAACAACGATCAAGTGTACAATTTGCAATTCTGCGTATGCGCTGTGGCGTGGAATGCCTTGGTGAAAGTACAAATTTTGTGCAACTTTCTTGAAAAATATTTTTACAAGTAGCTAGCTATGAATTTTTTTAAATACATCTTTTCATTCTGCCATCTGTCTGCATATTGCCATATTTTTTTTTCTGAACCATATCAGCGAAAGTCTCTTGCTTGTGGAATGTGGTGACATTATCTATGGGTGTCTTTATGTTCAAGGCAAAGATGGGAAGGTTTAATCCCTTTCTAGACACTCCCTACGAACATGATTAGTGATTATTTAAACTAGCTGTTCAGTATATTTATATTTCATAATCAATCATCAAATGTAATCTGAAGTCTGTCCAAATTTAATCTATTGATACCATAATTCCAGTGGAACAATTACCTCGTTAGAAAGCAGCTGCATGTGTATTGTGTTCTCGGGTCTGAAATTTGCACACCATACCATAGAAGCTTACTTGACGTTATTTGATCCCCTTTTGGACATGGGATTTTTCACATCATGTGTGAGAGGTTTCAAGCCTTATGCATCCCCATGCTCTCTTATGAACAGAACAGGATAAGCATTTCAAGTTACTCAAGAATGTACTGGAATGAACTTGATAAAATCTTGTCAAGAACATTTAAATTCCTACTGATCTTAAAATTTTGATTCTTACAAAACTCTTAGATGAACTTTAGATGAAATCCTGTCTAGAATCTTTATGATGTTACATTTACAAATCTTACTTAATTATTAAGATTCTTAACAAACTTACCAAGATCTTGTCAAGAAGCTTGTAAGATCTTCCTTTTCTTCAAGATTAGGATTCTTACAACTGAGATTCTTAAGTGAACTTTATATGATGTTGTTAAGAACTTTCAAGATCTTAATGCCCATGTGTTGTAAAATTTTTTTTAGGATTCTTAAAAGATTCTTAAATAAACTTAATAAGATCTTGTTGAGAACCTTTCAAGATCTTAACCCCCATTTCTTGTAAAATTTTGTGAGGATTCTTACAAGATTCTTAAATAAACTTAATAAGATCTTGTTAAGAACCTTCCAAGATCTTAATCCCCATGTGTTGTAAAATTTTGTCAAGATTCTTACAAGATTCTTGTATAAACTTAATAAGATCTTTTAAGATCTTACAATGCTCAAACCTGGTTAAGATTTGTTCAAGAAATTTGGCAAGATCTTATTAAGATTATTAATTCTTAATAAGATCTTAGTAAGATCTTCATCTTAATTGCCATCTTATAAGATTCTTACAAGATCTTCCAAGATCTTAATAAGATTTCCACCTGGGAAGTTATACAGACTCAGTCATGATAACCACATATATGAGAACACAGATTTTCCACTATGGCCATAACAAGATGAGGTAAACAGTAATTTGATTCCAGTGAGAAATTATGTTCAGATAGGTTCTTGGACAAATTCTTATTGCAATAATGTTTTTTTAAAACATTCTCAAAATATTAAATCTAAAAATGTGTCGTCTTGTTGTAGTCTGAGAACGGTAGGAAGTGCAGATAAACTGGTTCCATCAGCAGGGGCCAGTTCTAAAAATGGTATGTAAAGTCCATTTTTATTCAGTAGGTGTAATGGTGCACAACATATTTAAAAGCTTATTGGCTTACTCAGGCAAGTTATTGGCAGAAAATACTTTTTTTCGCTATCTTTCCTGGACAGCCTGATGTTTTAAAAGTAAGAAGGTTTAGAAACAATGTGCTCTTTCAACTTTTTTTTTAAGTGACTGTTCCAGTTTGCTACAAAGCGGCACATTATGGCCACTAGGCTGGGTGAAGGTATTGTCATTTGTTGGTCGCAAGCAGAAAAGTTGACATGCAATAAGAGCTTTAAAGATCAGTTATTAACCTTCTAGATGCTGGCACCCTCATAAGTTCAAAAGTTTTATCTGGTCATGAATAACTATTTCTACAAAGTTCTCAGGAGGTTTGTGTATAACAAATTCTTAATTACAGCTGATGAGGAGAAAGGAGGGCAGGAAATAATTAGCGATGAAGAGGAAGAAGTGGCTTACAGTTACTCCTTTTTTCACTTCATTTACTTCCTGGCCTCACTGTATATTATGATGATGCTCACAAATTGGTACAGGTGAGCTCTTTTTGTTGGGATATTGTGCAGTTCTCAAGCAGAAAAATAATTTGGGTTGAAAGATGGTTTCTGGAAAAAAAGAAATTATTCATTGTAACTTCTCAAGGGATGCAACCAGATGAATAAAGATTAAATGAAATACTATTGCTAACTGATCATAAGGAACCTTGTAAGAGTGCTTGTTTTGCTTATAACATATCTTTGAGAATTTCTGGCATAGTGGTCTAGATAAATTGTTATTTGTCATCCTCCTACATCTAATCAACGTATTGCACTGGTATGTTGAAATAAATTATTTCTTCTCCCAATAGTCCCCAGGGCAGCGATCTGGAGAATTTCCAGAGGACTTCTGGATCAGTATGGGTCAAGATGATATCTTGTTGGCTTGGTTTTGCATTGTATCTGTGGACACTCTTAGCTCCTGCCTGCTTTCCAGACAGAGATTTCAGTCGTACTCTTGCTGCATAACAGAGCAATGATACAGCGTTCTACACTTAGTGGTTATTTTAAAGTATATATCATTGGAGTGTTAAAAGTTAATAACATGATTTTGAGTAAATTTTTCAAAGACAACAAAACTGCACAAGCCCGTAGGGCGAGGGCAATTTGTAGTCTTTGAAAAATTTACAAGTGCGTATTACACCAACTTGCATGAGAACTCATTTTATTACTTGTTAATAATGTTCGTGAAAAAACATCACAGAAAGTCAAGACAGACGAAATGCTTTAACTGAGCATGTGCTATTTGTAATTTGCGCCCGTGTTACAACTTTGCACTCATGTTGCATTAAAAGGCATTTGTTTTCAACCTGTCAGAAGCAGGTAATTTTTTCATGTACATTATTACTGACGAAAGTTTTGTATAACTGCATTTGTTTTGCTGGGGTTTACTCTCTAATTAGTTTAAAGAAAACTCATGCCACCTTCTCACCCAATCAGATGCAAGACTAAAAGCTAGGGCCTCTAGGTCACTCGTGCTTTGCGTTTTCATTGGCTCCCTTGGATATAACCCCTTGCTCCGATTGGCCTTCGAGATATTCGCGGTAGCATTGACCGGTTTAGTTGAAAGTTGCTCCAAGCAATAAAATGAGGTTTAGATTTTGGTGCAAGGAGTAACGCGAACCAAACTGTTCAGTCAGAGTTATTATTAGTATTTTTTTTTTCACAGAAGCTTGAGGTTATAAGCTAATGGCACTTCGTGGACTGCTAGATCATATTTATTATATGTACGATATATAACTGTCGCGAAAATGCGTCTGAGAAAGTTAACTGATGGGAAGCAGTTTTATATTTGTGTAGTTAAACTGGAAAATAATCTTACTTGTAATGCAATTGTAATTTTTAAAAATAAATTCAGTAGAACTGAGTCATACTTAGCGAATGGTTGCTTTTATATCGAGCGGTGGTTACACCTTTTAAGATATTACTTGCGCGCCAAATAAACAGCCAGATGTAGACTATTTTAATCGGACAAATTTTCGCGTCTCGGTGAAATTAGGTAAAGAAAGGTCGTGTCACATCATATAGATATATTTTTTTTGCGCTTCTTCCCTTGGGGCGTTACTCGCGATTCGCGCTCGCCTGTTCGCCGGCAAAAAGCAGAAAATTACGCCACTTCTGTTTTGCTAAGCTACAAAAACGAGCAGCGGAGCAACGAGTGACTTTCTCCCGCTTCCCAAGTCTCGAAAAGCGAAAAGCTTCAAAAAGCATGCAAACTCGCCTTCCATGCAACCTCGTTAATCTCGTTAATTTTAAGCATCGTTCTTTCTTAACTTTACCGTTCCCTTTAGGTACCTGTCTTCAACGAGAAGCTTTCATACAACGTCGACTCATTAACGCACAGATCAAGTTCTTGTTTGCAACTGATCAAGGATCAGAGTGAACTAGGGAACTCAGATATATTAGTTAAGATTGAATGCTTTGTGTTGCTGTGTCTCAGCTATGGAAAAGATCCTAACCCTTTACACCCTTACGGCAGTACCTATATTCTCCATACTTTTCTCTGTAGATTTCCTTTGGTTCTGACAAGGAGAATTGACTTCACAATCAAAGCATCTTAGGTTGGCAATCATATCCTTTATTCTCACGATCTTAATGAATAACACAGTATGATTGTAAGGAGAAATTAGAGGCTGGTCAATCTCAGGTTTAAAGGATTATTAATGTTAATCATAATCCACACCCTCCCACTGCCGTATACTTAAATCCTCACTTTGTACTTCCTCACCAATAAGAATGACAAACAAAACTGATTAAATTTCAATTTATTGGTATAGTGCTGATCAATTATACCAAGATTCTTGAAAATAGCATGTAAGTTACAGTGCAATAGTGACAAAAAAGTCAATGGAGCATCACTCAACCAAGATATAACAATAGACAAAAGAAAATTAACTATAGAATTGAATGTAAGTAGTTATCCCCCCTGGATTAGAAAATTTATGTTCAGCTAAAAAGACCCTCAGTTAGTATTTCATTTAAAAAATTAGTATTTTTATGACAACGTTTTAATTGATTGTACATTTATAATTTCAGGTAAACAATATTCACATTTTCCTTGATACTATGAAATATTGTGCCTTTGTTACAAGGTGCACTAACATATTTTATATACCTCCTGTTTATCATCACACTGGAGATTTAGAAGTCTGCATAGAAAAGGAAATTTTCCATGTTATAAAATACATTGCTCATGAACACAAATTTGTACATGCAAGTCAACTTCACATCACACAGATGTGGTGTTAAACACCTGAAAATTACCTCAAAATTTACAGTTCACATCTAACACAAAGTATGGAATACAAAGAAGTAACTAAAAAAACATAACAAGAAAAACATCAGACTTATGCCACAGAGAATCCTAAAATATAATTGACACTACCAAATAAATTTTCTACTAGAAAAAGCTATGAAGAGAGATTGCATGATACTAAGCTAAGCAATGTGAAGAAATTATTTCAGAAGAGCAATGCCAAAGAGATTCCCTTGATGTGAATTGAAAGAACCTAGTCAGTATTCCTTAGCAGTGTTCTATCAATCTGTATATTGTTCAGCATGATTTCATTCCTTCCTTTACAGCACCATCATCTAAGAATCTTTTTTGCCATCAGTAGCAGCTCTTATGGCTGCCTCAGTAGCTGCATCTTTAGCTGAAAAGAGAAACAAAAACACAATGAGATCTTTAAAAAAGGTCACATTAAAAAAAAAGAAAAAGAGAACCTCCCTGCTCTTCAAGATGCCCCATTTGTTAGCAGAAATGTGGTAAATAGAAGTATTAGCAAAATATAAAAGTTTTTTGAAAATGTACCATAAAATTATTGCTGTGAGAAATACAAATTATTGTTAGTTGCTTAATGGGAGAACCAGGAGCTCTAGATCTTCAAAAGAAGAAACTTCAGAAAACACTGTTACGAGACAGAATACTCAAGAATGTGGCTAGAGGCCTCAGTGATGAAGGATTTCGACCTATTTTGCAGAGTTGTGTTGCAAGTACAGATAATTGTTCAATATGTGACCACAGGACAGTTTGAAGTCTGCAGTCATGGTTGTAATTTAGCAAACTTGCAAATTGCCTGCAATTTTTTTAATCATCATGTAATGGTTAAGAGCATGTGACACTACCAAATGCTATTCCAACTGCACTTGATTAATCTAATTATGAAATCATTTAAAACATTGGGAAGGATATCTGTAAGTGTTCAAATTACAAAAACAATTTGAAGTTACAACTTTGTATTGCCTATTACGCCATAAATGAAACCTACTTGTAGTAAAGCACACATCTTATGGTCACTCCGAAAGCATTAATGTGCCATTATCACTTGTAAATTTCTTTCCATGAATTTCATGCAGCAAGATTCAAGTACCACAGAATTTGTGTTGAATCACATAATAGCATGCATCAGAATGGCCCTAAATCGTACCCAGAAAACCTTCAGTTCCTTGTTTAACCAACCGTCCACTTTTTTTTTTTTTACTCAATTACAAAGCCACTGGGTCAGAACAAAGTAATGGCTTTGTCAATTGAAGCTATCAACTGAAACAAACTCCAGGCCTTCTATTTTCTTTCCCTCTAGGATGTCATTTTTTTCTTATTTATTTTTTAAAACAAAGTTTATATTTATAAAATGGCTCACTAACATAAAAACAGAAATGCTTACAGGCTTCTTTTGTCCTCATTATTTCAAAGCAACAACCCCCCTAAAGTTTCTTAGACATCTAATGATAAAAAGTACCTACATGACACTTTAGCAACATGTCATCAATTGACTCAAAAAATTCCAGAATTGGTACACAGCTGACTTATAGGTAGAAAATGCTCAACCACAAAAACACTCAGCTGGAAATTAAAAGGCCTGAGAGGCTGCTGGTGATGCTGTTAATGTTTTTGAATACAAAAAAATTCATAACTACATGATAGGTCCACAAACATCTGCTTACAGTGATGCTTTTTAAATATTAATGGATAACAAACCCGTCGACGAAGCCATATATAGTAAACACAATAACCGATTTTCCATTGAATTTCCTTTGAGAGCGGCGAAACCAATTAATTCATACTTTGCCCATAAAATCTAACATTCTTTTATTATTGAGAAATAAAAATTATAAACATTATATGCATGTGTGAAGTTCAAATACATTGTACGATTACTCGATGTTAACAAACCGAAGAGCACTCTGCTGATTAAATAAAAAATCAGACGCCTTCCTTTACAACTGCAGATTGAAAGCTCTTAGCTGTTAACTTAGCTTGACGATAGCTCACCTTCTTGGGCGACTTTGTCGACTTGTTCTCCAACTTTATTCAAAGCTTTGTCAATTTGAGTCTGGTGCTTCAACACAAAGGGTCTGATAACCTTGTGGTAAATGGTGTTACATCCATTCCAAGACACAGGCGCCATACACCAGCACAGGAAAATCAGCTTTAAAAAAATAGTAACGTCACATTGAAATACTCACGCTAACCATTGATACGATACTTCGGTTACAGACTAAATGTTCGTGATGTCAACGAAGAGGCAAAACAAATGAAAATTCCATTCTGCAGTTTGGAGATTAGATCTGCTCACATAAAACGTTTCTTCTAATTTTGGCATCTGCAAAAAATTCTACGCTTCAAAGAAGTCCGAAGTCCACAAATTTAATTTTAACGGTAAATGCAAGTGAAGAGGTTGGCGATAATGGACGTTACGTAAAGAAATATAAAACCTCCACAATACACCTGATTGTCATCTTAAATAAAACCATGGCGTTTAGAAACCTAACAGTTAAATACCTTCACAAGGAAATAGAGTGGGAACCACGACAGCAAAATGTCCGAAAAGAACTCCACGATGTTGAAAACTCCGAACACCACCCAATAAATAAGCCATTGTGTGTCGTCCTCTTTGTCTGCACTTTCCACAGCTTTAACCCTAAAAAAAGACAAAGCGGAGTAAAACAGATTTGTCTTGGAATGAAATATCGAACAACAACGAGGACTCAGGCGCTAGTAAACGCTGAGAGAATGTGACAACCAGGTATTCTACTCTTTCGTTTTAAACAAGCTTAACCCACATGCAAATGGCGACTCGAAAGCAAACAACTGAACAGGTAAACAGCTAATACGTGGTTTTCACAAAAAAGGCATTTAAGACTTACGATTGATAGGCTGGATAGGCAAAACCCAGGCAGGTCACAATCAAATCTGCTCCATAGCCAAACACAAGATAAAGGGCGAATATACCAACAAGACCTATAAGTGCAAGAACAGCATGGTCAGAGGCGAAGGGACGGAGACTCGTCCAAAATGCGTTAGAGTATCTACAAATTACCGAGAAATAAATAAAGCCTTTTCACTCCAGTCTTCTTCTCGATTTTATCTAAGACATCGGTAAAGAAATTCTTCTCGTGAAGCCAATTATCGAGCTTTTCTTTGCCCGTATTTATACTCTCCGTAGCCGACATTTTTGCAAATTACAACGGAATTACTTATTCCAAGGCGGGTTTGCGATAAACCATGTATTCCTCCAAGGGACTGGTCACATGACTTGTTCAACCAATCGGCGTTGTGTTCAATACATGACTTAATCAGTCACGTTCTGTTCACGTTCAGGCAAATGGTTGTTTATTTTCAGGGCACCATTTCAATATCAAGAAAAAAAAGTGTAGTTTAAAATCGCGCACTGTCTTCCTTCCAGGACTTACGATAGAGGTTGATTACTAATAAGTATCTAAAAATCGTTCTCTTACTTGCACAAATGTTCCCCGAAACGCGAATGTTGTGTTACACCCGTCCTCACCTCACGTATTGACATAATTTCTTGGCTTTTCCCCATCCTAGCAACTGATCAATGATTATTCAGATGTGCAGGCAAAGCTATACTAATGCGCTTTGTTTGTATTATTTTGATACAAAATAAGAATTTAAGTGAGGTGATATGTCCGACCACGGCTATTAAAAACTCAGTAGAAAAATATATTGTGAGCCTGTTTTTGGCAGCAATCCAGATCAAGTACCAGAGCGAAACTAGGCAAATTTCGAATACGTCCTTAACTTATTTAAAGGATCTTTATACTCAATGAAGTATGTACTTCGAAGTTATGACGTCCGCAGCGATAATTTCAAGACGAAAACTCTTGCCTCAAAACTTGAAGGAATTTTCGCCACGCTAGAGTCACGAACTAGCCGACTGTGGCAGGAAATGGACAATCATTGTTACTCAGTTACTAGTAATTAACAATTTCAATAACTAACCAGCGGGTATGGGATTTTTCTTCGCCAATTCCTTTCCCTTCTCTATATACGCTTTTAGCGAGTCCGCTTCTTGTGTTGTATCATTTGAAACTTGTGCGTTCGTTGTAGCATCTTCCATACTTTCATGTACAAGTTCGCTGGCCAAATACCGGTGTGCGGAGATCAGGAATTTCGTTTGCGACGATCGTTAGCTCTGCCGTGACTTTCAGCCAATCATGACACCCGCGGACATGCGCATGCGGAGTACCTACTTACCTTACTTCTGCAACAGGTTTACTCAATAAAGAATCTGTTTCAAGTTAGATTCTGATAAAAGCTTCTTATTTTTTTTTTCTGGGGAAATGATCGAACCTCTCAGGTGCACAGCTAATTTATCCGGCTGGCCTGGGCTGACCTAGGATACGACAATATTTAAATAAAAGATACCTTCCTCACTTTCCCGTAAATTTTCTTTCAGTTTCAGTAGTACCTATGTAAGAATGGCCAATCAATCATTGAAACTATTAAGATTTTTTGTCTTTTATAATTCAGACTAGCCTCCTGGACTAGTTTTCATTTTTTTTTTCTTCCTAGTGCATGGTTTGTACCCAAGAAGAGTTTGCTATCATAAAAGACTGGGAACTAATCAGGATAAAATCCAAAATGGTGTTCGACAGGCTAAGAGGAATCGAACGAGAAAATCTCCCTCTTTCGCGGCAACAAACCGTTGATGACCAGGAATCTCTAGCACAACAAAATATTTTATCATCTGTTAATGGAAAGACACCAAAAGAGCATCAGATAGGTGAGTTACCAAGCTGTTAACATGAAAACTTAGCCGATATGCTAAACTGTCAACGGCCTTACGTTTGTGACTTTCAGGAACTAAGAAATATATGTTATGTAACTACTTACAATTTACCGATACCGTTGTGGTTATTGCTATAATTAATCTAAAATGAGTAGAAAATGGTTTTAATAGCGTAGCAGAGACTCTGTACATCATCGTTAGATATATGCACGATGGAGCATAAGAAATAAACTTGTTTGAATTAGTAACAAAATAATCGTTATTGGGTTTAGAACAATTTGTCTCTTTTGGAGTGCTCTAGATTGTTGAGAATTCTGCTCTGCCTGTTTTATTTTCCTGTTTGATGTGTGGTGCTCACTACTCACGATTACAATAGCTGTTTTTGTTTTATTTTTATTATTTCTTGTCATGGAACTTAAACTGCCCTTCTTACATGCTGAGCTTAATTTGCCATCGACTGAAAGAGGATGGGGGGTGGGGGAGGGGGAGTGGAAGCATGGCTTGGGAGAATAAGATACAATTTTATGGGTGTGAGAGGTAGGGTGATTTATACTTAGAATAGGGGTAAGGAACAGTGTTCTCCACAAACCCTTCATCGATATAATGCCAAGTAGTGGCATGCCTAAGGTGCAAGAGGCATTAAGGAGGGGGTAGACAGGAGGAGGTGTTAACAGTTTGAAGGTAAATGATTCAAGCTTAACACTTGAAGTTTATGGTAAAAGTTGGTAAATTGTCTACTTTCATCGGTTAGTTGACACCATTAGCAGTTCTTGAATATTTGCTTTTTCCTTTGTATGATTTGTGGTGTAGTTGCTCATTTGTAACACAATCAACAAATTTATATGGTTAATGTATTTCTATTTTTCATCTTTGCAGAAAGCACACAAAGACTTGTTGGTTTTGCAATTGGTACTGGGAGGTAGGATGGAAGAATCCCTCTGAGAATTTTCTTAACTGGTTACTATTTGTGATCTGTCTCCTTATGAGTGTATTGTTTCTCTTAGTATTCTTGCTGCACAGTTTCTGACACATCCATTTACAGTCTTCAGGAGACAGTGTCAGGTATCTTGTGCTTGCATTAATTGTTCTATGAATAAATTCAATAATGTTGACTGTATAATGATAAGTAAAACGTGGTCAACTGTGGGTTGAAAATGAGATCCTCAAGCAAGTCTTATGATGACAAACATTACAAGAGGTTTGTTTATCCCAACATGAAGTTGGCTTTTAGAAAATGGTATCCTTGTTGGAAAGCCTGCTTGTTAGAATTTGCACAGGGAAACTTTGAAATTGGGTTTTTTGTTATAAAAATTACTTGAATGCAAGGATTAGCACCTCTGTCTCTGCCTCAGTGGCATATCATTATGATATCATACTTTACATTTAGTCAGTATCTGTTTTAATTCGTTTTAGCAAAAAATTAGTAGATCTGTTGAACAAGGACAACCAGATGAGATATTAAGCCAGTCTGACTAAGAACAGAACATCAAATGAATCTATTTTTGATGGTGCCACAAATTGAGAACTATTCTGTATTGTTTTATTGAGTTTTTCTTCACCAGGTAAATCATGGTGCCAGAAAATACCACTTAGCACCCTTCACTGTGTTCCAAATCTTGCTTCGTGTGAGAAGAAGTCAGGTGAGATTATTAATTTTATAATGTGAACATAAAATTGGAAAAATCTACTCTGAGGCTGTGGTTATAGATGCTTGATAAAGACCAAACCCCTGTATTTAAATTGAAATGATCATGATTGTGATTGATGCTGTCATTTTAGGGTTATGGTGCTTTGTGGAAGGGTTGTGGTAGTACCTATGTTGTGTGTGCTGTCAATTTCTTTGGTGAAGCAGCAGTGAGCAGCCTTACTCATCTACCTTAGTAAGTCACAAGTAGAACTGTGTAATTAGACAGAGTAATTTTCAATTGAGTGTTGAAAATTGATTGCTTTGGTTTTGCTTTACTTGGCTTTGGTCCTTTGGTTACTTGAGAGTTGTGCCACTTTGTCAATCAGTCAAATCCAAAACTGAAACCAGTCACAACATAGCTGCTGGATTTTTGCTTTGTTTCAGGGTGTTCAGATATTTTTTAAATGAATTGCGAAAATTGGAATACGGTCAAACATATACAAAGAGTTCATGAAAGAGTCTGTAAAAAGCATTGTTTGTCTTATTAAGCATCATTTGGTAAGCCATTCTTAACTGAATTTTCACATCAATCTTTTTAGTGAAAAACCAGAGAGAACTAGTTCATACAAAGATGTTGGAGGCCATCTTCTTTTGAAAGGGTATGAATGAGATTAAGTGACTTCTAAAATAGTTTTATGAAATGTGTGCTCTGTTTTACAATTGACTGATGGAGATGAAAAGTAAAATTATACACCATAAATGATGAGATTAAAAGGAATGATTTAGGGAAGTCCAGTTAATTATCACTTCAAACACAGCAATGAAACAGTCTCAGTATCATACCATTGTCTCTTGGTCATTTCTTGCCTTGCAGCTTTGTAAATTTTTGGCCATTTTTTTATTGTTGATTTCTGCACAATGCATGAACATTCTCTTTGCTTTCATTGGAGTTCTATTTATACCAAATGTACCTTCAAGTTGGTGTCATTTTTTTCTTGATGTTTTGTAACATTATTGAATGATTTTACAGATTAAGTTTGGCTCTTAGCATGCCAGTGGCGGCAGCAAGCTTAACAGAAACAGTCAAGGTAAATATATTATCACATCCTTTTTTTTTTTGGTCCTTCATGTCACTAGAGGTTTTGCTAGCCTTCTTCCATGTAAATGTCAGTCTCAAAAATTTAAGTTTGCTTTTCACATCTATCAGTGATATTGAACAAAAGAACTGCTGACATCTACAACAGATTTTATGTTAAATGTTGTCTTATTTATTGATCGTCACTTGATCAGCAAGTGGGCTAGGGAAAGGGGAAGAATCTCCAACTTTCTGTACCCTGATCACCTCTCTCCATCTTTTAGTTCAAAATCTTTCAGATTACAGGTTATCATAAGTTCCTACATACCACAATCTCCACTCCCATATCCCATACCTCTGCACTCATAAACTCTCCTTTGCAACTTTCCTGTCCCCTGCCGTGGGTCAGCCATGATCAGCCAGTTTTTAATATGTTGGTGATTTTGTTTGTTTCGTGGTCACATTTTTGCACTCCTCCCTTGCTTTCCACCTGTTAAAATGTCCAACTCTTAAGCCTTGTCTCTCTGTTCTCTTGCATGGCATCAGTCTTCTACTTTCAAGTGTTACAGTGTACCCTGTATCCATGTACTGATCAGCTGTAACCAGCCAAGTTTAGGGGGCTGGTGCTTTTGTGTGTCAGTTAGGGATGTTTATTTAGCTCTCTTAGTGTATCAGTGTACTTTGATATTTGAAAGTGAGGTATGTGATCTGAATATATTTCTTGCTTTCTTTCAGAGTGACCTCACCCGTTACCAAGACAATATGTTTGACAGTTTAAAAGACTGGATGTACCGCATTGTAGGCTGGGATAGATCATCAGGTCGTCATGGTCGCCTCCTCCCCATGTGGACCCTGGTGCTTCCCACAGTTCTTCATGGCCTGCTTACCTATGTCTTGGGTACATTGATTCAACACTTGGTATTGATAAAACTGAAGGGCAGGGGCATCCACAAGTCACCCGACACAGACCCTACATCATCAGATGAGGAACCGCCGGGCCCTACTGATATGACTCATACTTATTACCCAGAACTTGTGGCCAATTTTTTAGCATTTTTTATCCCTGAGTTTTTGTTGTATCCTTTGGAGACGGTTCTTAACCAACTGTATGTCCAAGGCACTCGGACCATCATTGACGATCTTGATACTGGTACTGGTGTGGTGCCACTATGTACAAACTATGATGGTATGTTGGACTGTTTCCGCTCCATCTGGCGGGATGAAGGTCTTGGGGGTTTTTACAAAGGCTTTGGTGCACTGCTGATTCAGCTGTTTATTCACTGGCTCATTCTAAAGCTGACTCAGTTTGTGTATAAGGAAATTTCCCAGGATTTTAAAGGCAAATAATTCATTGCTTGTGTGTCTTAAGAAATGAAGATCTTAATTAACAATATCTTAATATTGGGGTCATTCTTTGTACAGTTGATGTCACACAGGATTGTTAAGGGATATGTGTAGGACACTATGATCTTTGCAATGATTCCCTTGCTCTCCTAACTATAATTTATCAGAAGTTTAACTATTTTGGTATGTTTTAACTGAACTTGATCCTCTATGGTTACTTCTGACTGTTATTGCCTCAAGTGGAAAGATAAGTTGGCCAAAAATCGAGAAAAAATTATTCTAGTATGTCTAAATAGAAGTGATACTTTGACACAAAATAAAGTAGCATCTATTTATAATATGAGTGCTTGTCCTCAATTATTAACTCATTACACCCTAAAATCAGTTTGAATATTCTCTGCACTGTTCCCTCTACATCTCCTAAGTGCTGACAGGGAGAATTTGTTTAACAATCAAGAGTTTCTCTAGCTGGTTATCACTACATTATTTTATTCTCGTGACCTTTACGTTTGATCCAGAGGTGATAATATTACTGTCAGGAGAAGTTAGATGCCAGCCACTCTTAGGGGTCAAGGGTTACACTGGAAATGACCATAAAAGATAAGAACAATCAAATATACGCATTTTTACAGGAAAGTATAACAGGAAACCTTCATTTTTGAAAAAAAAATGGAAGTTATCCTTGCACTCTATATTGTTGATTGAACACTTGTCTAAGCAGCCGTTTGCACACTGAAGTGAATGGTTTCGGTGTAGAACCTACATTCAATAATTGAATAGAAAGTATCCAGTGAACAAACTATCAGACAAAAAAATTGGTTTTTCGTACTCACCCGAGGTTCTAAATACCACAGCCTAAAAAAGTTTCTAACGTTAACTTTATACCTAGGGAGATGAATAACTTCACAATTATGTTATGATTTAGTTTGACTTTTTTATTTTTCATTTTCAAGAAAGACAAAGTAATAGTAAATCAAATATCAAGATAAATAGGCCTTTTTTACACCGAAAGGCAATGGTGAAATGTATTAGATTAACCAAAAAAAGCATTTTCTTAGCCCATGGAAATTCTATCTTGATCCAATGTTATGAACTCGGCATGACTAGGATGGCTCACTAAATGACGTTCTTTCAGGTTGTTAAGACCAACCTGTCTCATACTTAAGCCAGAAATTCACGGTGTTTTGAAAGCGTTCAACTTTTTTTTGATAAAGCTCAATACAGAATGGTAAATCACCAGGATACCCAATGCATCCAGTATCAGAGATAAAATTGGGTCCCAGGTCACCGTCAGCGAAGTCTTGTTCCCTGTGCGACACAAGAAAATGATGAAAAAAGTAAAGGTGGGCTTGCATCTCAAAATAGTGTATCATAAATTAGCTTATTGCAAATTCGTCTCCCGTTTTCGTCCAATGTCAGGACTAATACGATAGCTAACGATTTGGAACCATCGGATTTTATCTTATAGCTTCCATTCACTTTTACGAGCAACCTCAGCGAAGGCCAAAGTACTCATAACTTAAATCTCGCTGCAAAGTGACGAGAAATCATCCTGTAACACAGTAACTCTTGCGAACGTTGCAGAATCCTAGCTTGAAATTCAAAACAGGATGTCTAAGCGTCGGTACGTTCAACTGAATTACGGTCGTTTCGCCTACGGGTCGTTTCGCCTACGGTCTGTTCGCCTACGGTTAGAGTCGATTCGCCTACGTCTCATATGTCAGTTCGCCTACGTGTTAAAACATGTGTTACAACAGTTGATTCATCTACTTTATGTGCGATCGCACTCGGATCCTAGTCGGTCAATTCAATTCCTAGAGCGTGACTCATAAAGTCAAGCCTATCGAAGTTAAATAATTGTAAATAAGGAGCGTTCGTTTACCTGAAAATTTCCGTTTTAATTTGATTCATCTTCGTTCGAGTAAAAACAAGTTATGTAAATATCGCATATTCTGAGTTGCGAATTAAACGGTTCTCCAATTACACTCAGTAACCATGAAGCGTACTCATTTCGCGACATTTTAATTCTAATACACTTATTACATGCGGGGACGTTTAGGTTATCCGAGTGACACCTGCCCCTTAAACAACAGATCATTCGCGTTTAATTCCACAGGGCGCAGAGGAGTTCATTGTGACGGTAGGCGAGGCGAAAAGTTTAAAAAAATCATTTTAAGCAAAATATCTTTCACACATTCGTAGACGACCGGGTTCCGCCATAATAAAGTTTTTAAAAACATTCGAACTTAGATGTTTTAGCGCGTTGTTTTTCTAGCCATCGAGGATAGAATGGAAGGAATAATACAAGGAACAAAGACTTTTAATAATTCCGATTTAAAGCTTCAACATCTGACTCGCAGGCGAACTGACATATAAGACGTAGGCGAATCGACTCTATTCGTAGGCGAACAGACCGTAGGCGAAACGACCCGTAGGCGAAACGACCGGATACCGTTCAACTACCTAGCCTAAAACCAAGGTTTCGCGTGGCAAGCGACGCGAACGTGCGAGAGGCATGCAAGGGCCATACTTCTTGACAGCTTTCTCGACAGCACGAATCTCGCGGGTTTCGCCGCTCATACCGCAACGGTAAGGAGATTCTGCTGAGAGGCTCCCCACTTCTCACCTGATAGTTACGTGCTGGAATTGGCGGTGGTAACGTTTCCTCCTTAGGTTTCGGAGATTTCGGAGATTTTGGAGACTTGGGCGGAAGGGGTGGGGGCGCATCATCATCATCATTATTATTATTTTTATTCCTATTTACGTCACGGAGAGCAACGTATTTCTGAAAGAGAAAGATATTTTGAGATCCTTCAAGTAAATAACCTACGATCGGGCGTTCTTTCTTGGGGGAGAGTAATGGTGCAGTAATGCAAGAGTCAGCGCAACAAGGGCAATCCCGAAAGTCGACTTTTGTGCTGCTATAAGTTGAGCGTTCCCAAAATAGAACGCCTGATCACAGATGAATGAGTCACTAAATAAAAACGTAAATGAAACATACTACCCATACGGGTATCAGGTAGACAAAGAATAAGAGAGTAACCCACCTTTTCCTCTAATACGTTGATCAGTTCCACATAATCTGCTTCTTCTTCAGACTCCTGAAAAAAAAATTCATTTATAAATAAAGGATGATTAAAGAAGCTGGAGCAGTAGAAATGAAAGAAAAATAATGTTAAGTTTAAATGAAAAGTAAGTGAAAGAGGTGGAGAGGATTATCGGAGGAGGATGACGTCTTTAACCTCTTGTCTCAGTCTTTGATCATGTTCAGTGAATAAATTCCATTCTTTGACCCTTTGCATCCTAACATGCATATATACATTCCCAAACTGTTCTCTTTTCATTTCCAAATGTGCCGACAAGGAGAATTTGCTTAACAATCAAAAGCATCTTAAGTTGGTGATCATTCCCTTTATTCTCATGACCTTAAATGTGTGATTAAGAGGTGATAGTGTGAGAGAAAATAAGACGTGAGTCACCCTCAGGGCTCGAAGTGTTAGGACAAGTGTACCGCTAGCAAGTAATCAGTTCAATCTGACTTACCTGTCCACAAGGTTCAATGAGAACGTCTCCTTCTGAATTTATGGGTTCCTTTCGTTTGATTTGCAAATAAAAAATGACGAAAGGGAAAGTAAGTTGAGTTCAATATTCCCTTCTCCGATGCAGCCACGAAGGGTCGTTCGATAATACCTTTAAATGTCTAAATTACGCTATAAAACATCCTCAGTTAAGTTCCGTGTCTGTGATGAAACCATAATGTGTAATCAGAGAGTTTTCAATTGATTGTCGTCAAAACAAAATCAAAGAAATCTCAACAGCCAATGAGAATTCAAAGTAAAAACAATCAAACTGCCTAACGCGCGGGAAAACGCGGGCAACCAAAGTCGTGATTTGTTTAAGTTTTGCATCTGATTGGTTGAGAGAGTGGTGCGAATTTTCTGGACCAAGCAGAGAACGAAGTCAAGCAAAACATCAGGTTATCGCTTCTACCTTCCACTGCTGACGTATTTTTTCAAAGGACTTGATAAGGTTGACCAGTTAAGAGACCGATCGCAATATGAGAGAGGGAGAAATCCTCACATCATATGAGCGAATGATCAAAGCGGTAGAAATGTCTTTTAATGCACACTGACCATTTCTTTAACAGATTTTAGCATTGCGATTACCCTTTTGTGTACATTGACCATTTCCTTTAGAGATTTGTAGACTCGTTGCATTCCAACAATCAGAAACTTCCCAGAGCGGGTCTGATCGATCATGTAGTGCTTACAACGGCTCTTTACCCTGAAACAGAATTACGACATGAATCAGTAAAATGCAATACCAAGAGGCAGTAACTACGGCTGAAAACGTATAGTTCGTTCTACCACTTCTTCTTTCATCTCACCTGTATGATAAAGTGTAACCAAACCGGCTTTCACTGACTCGGATCAAGAAACAACCCACTGGTTTGTTTGATAGCAAGCGCTCAGATTCCCTGAAACAAAAGCACCAAAACCTTATCTAAGGGTGTCTTCTTTACAAGCGATAAATTAAAATTTTAGTTCTCGTTGGACACACGTGTACTTGTTATTGTCGAAAAGAAAGCCGACTGTGTGAAAAGAAGGTTGGTTTGGGCAAGATCGTTGGATAAATTCTCCTTTGAGAAAGATGTTTTAAAAGACCTTAAAAGGCGTGGTCAATCGAGAACTCTGAGAAACCCATGACGGTATAAAGTCCAATGATTAATTAAGCTACATTTTATCTTTATGTAGTCGGAGACGTTACAGGGTGGTCAGTTTTTCAGAGAGAAAGAGTAGATTAAGCGATATAACCAACTCGTGGACTTCGATCTGCGACAATTTTTACTCTCTCTTGCAATTATTCTAAAGGAATTCACGAGAAAAATCACTATTTGATGCTGTAAAGTACTCAGTATTATCACATGAGTTTAAAAATTTCGAAACTTTTGTTTCAACCTAAGTAGGAAGTACTTGCATACAAAAATGAGTTGTAACGACAAATTTATACTCATATCTACTGACTTGTCAGAGATAAAAGCTACACTTTAGTACGTGGCTTTAAATGTTATAAGTAAATCAGATACACGATCGTAGCATTTGTTTGATGGACTTTAATTACCTCCTAGAAATAATTCCGTGAAACCATACACTGAATCCTCCACTCTCATCCTGTACAACTCCCTTGGGAGCCTGTGTCTCTTGAAACCACTGGACGGCACTGCAACACAAGAAATGTCCGGTTGGAAATTTCCCTCAGCAAACCAAG